TTGATTAAAACCCCAAAACCCCAAAACCCCATTCATCTTATTTTTAGTATAAGTTATGAATAAATGAAATTAATGAAAATTAACTTCGATCAGATTATATAAATCATCACTATTGACCTGCTGAGTTGACTTTGAACATTTCGATCTTTTAATCAACTACCGCAATAGGTTATTATTGCTTTCCGAACATCTTTAAGATGTTTATCTTTATTTATGGAGATTGAGGACCACTATTAGTGTTTCCGTCTGATTTTGGATTGTTATTGGATGTCTCTGCTCTTAATGAAGATACACCTTTAACAGGATTGCCTTTGTCTAGTAGCAATCTCATAAATCCTCCACTGATCTTATCCTATAGTTACTGAGCCTACCTTTGCTTTATAATTTCTTTAATCTTAGCGAGGTCCTCACTATCATCCTTATCGAGCAAACCAAATATAACAAGCTTATCTCCCATATTAAGTGGTCTAAAATTAGGCTGCGTAAATCCTTGATAGTGCTTGATAGTTTTGATCTTGTCAAATAGTTGAGAGTCAATTTGCTAAGGATTCTTCAACTTGTCAACTTTCTTGAATATAAATTCTTCCTAATCATTGAGACTCTTCTCTAAATCCTAAGTCATTTTTAGCAGTCCAGCTTCAACCTTTTTCTTGAGCTAGGCATCTTAAGACTCAATTTAATTTCCCTCACCCAAAGAATTATTCTTTTTGTCAATCAAACTTTTTAGTCTCTTTTTCTTAATTAATTATTCATTAATGTTTCCGAGCGTTTTATAATAGCCTATTTAGTTATCTGTAGAGTTTCCAAATGAGTTATTCGGATTGAAATTATATCCTGTATTAAAAGAGGAGTTGTCCATGTTTCTTGATAAATTTAAGACTTCATACTAAGAAATATGATTCTACTCATTTTGAATAAGATCTTTTATCTAATCTGGCCTTTAATATAGTGGTCTTAGATGCTTTGCTTGTTTTTTCCAAGTGGTGATTCTCTAATTTTAATGATATTTTTCTATGAGATCTCTGTTAACATCAATAACTTTTTTGTTTTGATTATTTTAGAGCTGACTGCTCTTGGCTATTGGACTAAGGAATTTATTTTTGAATTTTTCCATTACCTGCTATGTTTGATTATCTGAGTTTCTTGAGGTTGATAGATACATTTTAACTTTTGATCTCTCAAAAGGTTTAATAAGATTTAACTTGAACGTCTGATGATTTGATACGTCACTCTTATTGACAAAATAAAAGTTTCTGTCACTAGGCATTAGCAATCTTTAATCTTCAATTTCATTAGTAATATTTTAGCTCAAATCTTCGAGTCTATTTCTGCTTGATGATCCTGAAATGATGTTCTTCTAAGGTTAAATATGGTTAACAGAATCCACATTCTAGGAGATAAAGATATTTGCTATCTCAGGCTCAATTATTCTAAATTACTTTTTAGAGTATTAGGTCGCATCGATTGACAATGATTTCCCTCTTAAAGTAGACTAAGTTTTTAGATTAGTGTTCTTAAGAGAGGGCATTTTAATCCTTGGCATTTCGGCAGAATTATTCAGAAAATCACTATGTTCTAAAGTATTTTTAAGTTCTGATGGGATTTACTCTATGAATTACCTCATGATATCTCAATTAATTTGCTTTATCTTCTCATCACTTAGCTATGATTTCTTTTGCTGCATTAGAGTTTCATGATTATGAAAATACTCGATAGTCTTATTAAGATCTTATAACCGATCAACTTTTATTCTTGCTTTTAGCTTAGTCATTGATTCACCCTAGAACCAGAGTTTATCGGTAGCAGTAGGAGTAGAATTCATTGTCTGATTGCGTGATTGGCGAGTTTGAGCATTTATCATAGAACCTTAACGCTTTTGTTGCATCATAATGTTTGATGGGAATATCCTCTCATTATTTATGTATTTGGAAAGGTCAAAATGCTGATTAGTTTTCCCTAATTATTTTTTCGTGTCTCTATCTATGAAATCTGCATAGTAATTTATCTCAGATGAAATCACACTTTAACTATTCTTATGACTACCAATGTTTGACCCTGCTTTTCTATGCTTTCCTGGTTTATCTCTGAAAATTTTTTTGTATTAGTTCTATCATTGATTTCTCAATGCCAGATGCTCTTCAATCAAGTCAGAGATATCATCTGTATTGGTCTATGTAGTCTAGTAATGAGACAGCAACGTCTCATTTAGCAAGGGAAAATTCAGGGTCCTTGTCATCTGCTAAGCATAGTTTTGCATCTTTATTCGACCTTATTCTTACTTCAATTATAAATATTTTTAATATTAATATAAGAGAATTTGATAAATATTTTAGGTTGAATTTAAGGTATGGTGTTGGGGTTTTGGGGTTTTGGGG